TTGGTTAATTGATTAGTGGACTGATTGGTTGGTTAATTGATTAGTGGACTGATTGGTTGGTTAATTGATTAGTGGACTAGTTGGTTGGTTAATTGACTAGTGGACTGGTTGGTTGGTTAATTGACTAGTGGACTGGTTGGTTGGTCGATTGGTTGGCTTGTTGATTTTATGATGGGTTGGTTGGTTGGCTGGCTAGACTGTTTAAACTCTTTGCTTCCAGGCAGATTTTTTCAGCCCCCAGATGTCTATAATTTTAGCCATTGAACCTACTTTCAACTAAATTCGATGCCGTATGGAAGGAACTATTTTGTAAAATGAATATTTTATATTTAATTTATGAAACAGAAACTGAAAAATATATTTCTCAGGTTAAACATTGTTTAAATGTATACATTTCAGAAACAGTTTGAGTGAGGCTCTTACAGATTCCCATAACATTACGTTCTTCACTTTATGTGTCTGCAGAGCAGAGGGAGGCATCACTAAGGGCTCGACCGTGGGCGTCCTGTTGGATCTGACCAAACGTACCTTAACTTTCTTCATAAACAAGGAGCAGCATGGACCAACAGCCTTTGAGAACCTGGACGGCGTTTTTGTTCCTGCTGTTAGCCTCAACAGAAACGTTCAGGTCGGTGTTGGTCCTTACAACCTCCCGTTGGGATCAAAAAGCATCTATTTGTTACGACACAGAACTCCTTTTAAAGGGTCTTATTTGGGTTCCTGTGATTGCYTTAAAAACGAATCCCGAAAAGTTCAAAATGTTTTTCTAAAGTTTGTAAAATGATAGAATGTTCAAAATGAGCAGTGGTGGTCAGAGCTAACCCAAAATTTAGTTCCACAATTTCTGAAGCACTTATGCCATAAGAAAAACTAGCAGAAGCTAATTTTAAAGCACAAGTTCAATTTGACACTTACAAGCTGGCAATAATTCATGTACAATATATGTACAACACTGCCAACTAGTGGTGGATGAACTCTTTTTCAACTTAATTCTACAACCACTGATTGCTGGGGATGTGATTTCCTGAAACAGACCTTTGGCTCCTGGTGTAAAAATTAAAAAGTTGCTGAAGATTGCTAGTTCGGCTGCTTCTTTGTCTTTTTCTTTTGTTTGTTGTAGATTTTCATCAATAAAGTAATTTTAAAACTGTTTATTGGAAAACTGAAGCGATGAATTCTGGGTATATGACGGATTTGATTTGTGACGAAAAACAAAAGCACAGAGTACAGGAAATGATCTTCCCTTCAAAATAAGAGCTTGGATTTTAAAATTTTCCATGTAGTTGCTCCAGTTGACCACTYGATGTCAGTCTTCATCAGCATAACATCTTTAAATCATTTCTGAGTCTCTAACCCCGTTGCTTRGAKCAATTACAGCAAGTATTGAGCTCCAGTGTTAAAACTTTTTTTTAAAAGGAGCTCCGATTGTAAAGTAAAATAAATCAATACATACAAAATATTAGTATGGATTACAAACGTTAACTGTTTTTGCTATTGCCTTCCTGCTACGTAAGCAGACACAAAGCATTGTGGGAAATGAGAACCGTGACCCAAAGCAACAGTCAGCAGGATGTATACCTTCACAATAAGAGTGTTTATCTGGGAGGGGTGCTGTTGGATAGATCACATGTTGTGATTCATTGACAGTCATACCTTCTGCTGTTCAACATAAWGATGACTGGTGATAAMTAGTTATTAGTGGTACAACTTTTTAAAGTTTAGAACGTGCAAATCTGTTTATGAATTATAAAAATTAGTAAGACCACAAAATTCCAACAAAATATTTAGGTCCACAATTAGTGGATTTGTACTTTAGCGGGCTGGTGCCCACCACTGAAAATAAATATAGGTCAGAAAAAGTAGATGATGAAGACATGCAGAGAGCAGAGATTTGCTACTGTTGTATTCAAACATTAATACATAAATTTCATGTTGTCGTCAGTCAACCTCCCCATACTCAAGTGTTCATTTCGTGTCGAGCGTTTAAGTTTAATCTCAAGTGACGAAATGACTCACAAAGTGTCTCATCCTTCATCAGATCCTGTTGTTTTTTTTTGTGGCCTGTGGGTTTTCRTCCCTCTGAGACGATCTGGCTGAGTGTCTGCTCTGTTTTCTCCACTTCAGGTGACCTTACTGACAGGCCTGGAGGTGCCAAAGAATATCAAACAGTAAGAGCTCCGTCCTGCTCCCCAAGCGTGCCCTGGATACAAACCTTCGATGTCACGAGCAGCCGAGGCTGAAACCCCCCACCAACATGTCAGAGGGGATTTATCCTGTCCTCCAGGCGCCCTTTGTCTCCAATACGATATTTATGGGATACATCTGAGCCCTGACTGGCTCTAAATACCCCCGGACGTCAAAACAAACATTATACATGCCCCAATTTTATATGGGGTGCCATTTGTGACATTACACAGTCAAAAATTACCACCAATATTTTTGTTTTATTTAGTCTTTTATAAGAAAAAATGAACAGATTTATTTTTCAAAGTCAGGTTTTCACCATATGATTCATACATTTATAA